CTTACTACCCCTTCGCGCACTAGCTACGCTAAGAAAACATCTCAATTCTTTACCATTAAAATTTGGTATACTTCACCATTCAACTTCGACGTGTGCCCACATTGTCATTTTCCAACAAATCAATAAAAAATATTATTTTACAACGGATTGCTGATTAGTAATGCATATTATATTTGTTCGCTTTTCACGTATTTTATGTGCGTTTATTTTTGTTCACTGTATTGGTTGTTTTCATTTTTTCATTTTCAATTTTGTGCCCTTTATCTGCTATTACTGCGTATTATTCCTGTATAGTATTTGACTTTGCATTGCATTGCTTTGCGTATTGTATTTCCAATTTCGCTTCTCAAACTAAAGAATAAAATGAAAGCCAACATCAGAAGTGGTCAGCTCAAATGTAGCGCTTATGCTTGCAAGGATGGAAGCCCTAGATAGTACCACTTAGAAAAACTTCAGGAGATGGTGCTTAACGGTACAATTGACGCTAACCCGACGTGACGCCTCTATCATTGGAGTAGATATGTGATGTTGATAAAATGACATGGGCCACACTGCAACTGCGATTGACGTTTCACTAACATAAAGGCTGCATAGGGTCTTTTGACAAAGGAGTTCTGAGGCCTTCTGTGGCTCTGTGGTATATACAGCATACGTAATTTCCACGAAGAATGCTTAGGTTGGATTTCTGCTGTAATCCTAACACAATTAGCACAATAGTGTTAAAATACTTGTTTTGCAGATATTCCGGCGTTGGTGTCGGCGTTTGCGTGGTCAAAGTCAGCTGTGAGCGAGAATAAAAGAATGAAACCACGTTTATTCTATTTTGTTCACGCCGAGAGAACTCATGTTCTCCGCGACCCGAAAATCAAGCGAAATAAATAATGTAAATAATAAAAATTTTCATGTGGAAGTGAGGATCAAACTCAAGATTTTTTGCGTGGCAAACAAGTGTTCTACCACACATGCACGCATTTGCTTGAAAATTAGTCAAAACAACTTCCTCTGCTTGGAAATGCAGTATAAATGATGTTTTAAAAACACGCGTGCCCTGTATACAGGCTTCACAATAAAACACGTAATATTGCAGTAATCATGCGCGGTACAAGTATACATTCCCATCGGACGTCAGAACAAGTGATTAAATCTTAACGCTTTATTGTTTAAAGCCGGCTACCCATTGCAAAAGGCACACGCGTTACTACTGCGCGTATTCTCTGAAGACCATGTAGTGCGTGCACCACAAATTCGAAAACATAGGCTTACACGCAATTGCTCGTGGTTTAAAGCATACTACCCAACACACAGAATGCAGTCATGCGTGAAAGCTTCACTAACACAAGCTACTTGCAATTTTACCAACTACATTGTAGTAATTCACAATTTGAACTTCTCGTGTAACATAATACGATGAAAAGTACGCACTAAGTGACTGAAGTATACGGACAGGATGTCGCTATGGCGCCAAGCCCTTGAAGGCGCAACTTAAGGATTCCCTAAATTGTAATTTAGTGGTTCGTTCATGGCGATTGTGAGACAGCAAATCCGTCGCTTTGAGTTATTAAATGTGCAACAATGCCACCTTCACCTTTCTTGCCATACTCAGGAAATGTCCACCTTTCTTCTTCTCTCACACTGTCAATTACTACAATGTAATCAATAAATTTGAAAGTAGCTTTCATCAGTGAAGCTTTTGCGTAAGGCCGCATTTTGTGTAATTAGTATCATGCTTTAAACCAGGAGGAATTATGCGGGTGAAATCTACTCGAACTTGATATGCACCAACAATGTGGTCTTCAGAGAATACAGTAACGTGCGTGCTTTTTGTAATGGGTGACCAGATTTAAATCACGAAGTAATTAAGATAACCACATGTTCTGAGGCCCGGTGGAAATGCACGTTTGTGCTACGCTTTGTTACTGCAATATTTGCGGTTGTATTGTGAATCATGCATACAGGACGCATATGTTTGCAAAGCAAGTGTTTTATTTTCACTACATTTTGAAGCAGACGTGTGGCTGTGTTGTAGAAAACCTTTCTACCACGCACACTTCCTGGGTTCAATGCGTGCTCGGACCTGAAAATTTCATTTTATTAGCGTCTTTCTCAGTTTGGTAGTCACAAACAAGGTTATGGATTTTCGCTCACAACCAACGATGGCCGCGCCGACGCCGACACCAACGTCAAAATTTGTGCCAAGCGAGCTTTTTAACGCTAGCGCTTTAACATATGCTATGGTCTCCGCAGCAATCCAACGTAAGCATTCTGGCGGCAATCAGCTATAGTATAATGCTATCACAAATACGCCAAGTCTCGCAACTTATTTTGTAAAAAGAGTCTGGAAGGCGTATTGTTACTTGAACGTCAATTGTAGTTGCTGTGCTGCACTTCTCATTTTTTTAAACATTGCATATCTACTCCAGTGATACAGGTGTCACGTCGGGTATAATGTACTTAAGCGCCATGCACTGAACTTTTTCTACGTAGCGCTTTTCAGAGCTGCTATCCTCGCAAATACAAGCGCTACATCATCGCGAGCGCAAGCACGCGATGATGTAGCGTGCTTGCGAAACGCAAGCGCGAAACGCAAGCGAAAGCGATGACGCCAGTATTTCTGCGAAACAAGCTCTTTAATTCTATCGCGCTAAAACTAAAATGGATACCTGAACATTACACCTTGCAACACAACAGCCTATCAAGCTGAACGACAAGCACATTACAAAGGTGTACTTTTTTCTGCCAATTTCGAAAATCGATTTCGCAGCATTATGACAATATCTCCCTTTCAACTGTGCCAAAACTACGTCGCTTCATCAAAGTGCACGTCTTGATCGTTGGTTATGAAGTTCCCTCATTCACTAGGGAAAGCTAGGCAGTGCATATACCAAAACATTTTTACGCAGAATTGGCAGCATAGACTCTCCTGAAATCGAAAGCGTATTTATAGATGAATGTCTCCTCCTCCGAGACGGCCCCCATGAGAACATTTCGAGACGCCATCTTAAATCTGGAGTTATACCATTATAGCAGAAGCTACTCAGTGTAAAGGATCTTCTGGGCTCGTGGCCAACCACAGCCTCACAGAAATATGTTTTAAAAGCCTTAAAATGGTTTGTCGATAAAGCGAAATTGTTGAATATTGTCAAAGTAATAATGTTCCTACTATATTAAAGTCATGTGTTATATGTACTGCGCCGTATATATTATTATATGTTGTCTTTTATGTTTCGAATCACCTGCATGATGTATGACAGCTCAGTGACTAAAAGCATTAGTAGAGAAACATTTATTTGCATTTATGACATTGCTTTTGCGTCATGGTGATACTTTAATGATCCATTGAAGGCGCAACGCATCAGTTATGCCCTTATGTTACTGTGAGTACAATGTTAGACTTTTTTTTCACGTTTCATTGCTGTGTTGCTCCTTCTGTTCCGTATGCTAGATACCCTCAAAAGCTTTGGAAGCGACGAGCACCTTATTTATGCGCGAACACCTTGTCGCATCATATGAATAACAAAACGTTCTCCTTACTTTAAATGCAGTAATTACCCACTGCTTGACTACAATCATGCGTAAGGTAAAACGAACGGAAGTGGGAAAGTTTGCACAGAGTCAAATAAAGCAAGGGATGTGGCTGCCGCCAAGGCTATTTCTGAAAGAACTGTTTAGATGCACTGATCTGGGATGTCTTCACGAAAATACTTCTGTTGATATTGTTTGCAAGAAAAAAAAAGTGCTAGCCAATCCTGGTGCCCAAAAGTGCTAGCCCAAAGTACAAGCGAAAGTGGCTGGGGAATGAAATCAAACCAAATCAAATCACCTTTGCGAACGAAAAGCTACATGAAGTCAGTCCCTGCTGCTATGAACAGTTCTGGCCTTAAAGGGTCACTCACACATGTGACTGCAGGCGCTTGTCGTGCGACCATTTGCGACTGACGTTCATAAAGCGACTCTGCGCAACCGATGTTCACGCCTGCGTGAGAATTACACCCGTCGTCACACAGAAGTCTCGTCCACTCGCGTTGTTATTCGCCCGGAAGATAATTTTACGTTTTGGCCCTATACGTTTGTCATTGGTTCAGTGGTTTGCGATGGCAGCAGTGCCACAGAAAAATCAGGCAGCAAAGACTGAGCCAAAGTAGTCGTTTCACGACCTAAGCGGCAATTTGCTACTACGACTCGTTTGGTAGCGTGGGCAGTGGTAGTCGCTTGTGTGAACAAGCCTTAAGTCGAAACTGCATAAATAGGGGCTAGATTTTCGGGCGTGTAAACATTGACGGAGCACAGTTTCATCCTCTATTATCCTCCGTTCCATTTTCAGACTCTTAGACCAAAAGTTTAAATGATCTCTACAAATTTATGTCATTGTCTACAATGCAGGTCATACTCAGGAACTTGACGAGCGTCAAAATGATGATGTTGCCATCGATTACGACGCCAAGTTGACCGGCGAGCAGGAGGAATACAGGAACTGAGAAATAGCGATCGCTAATTATAAACACGGAGGCCACTGTCTTCTGCAGCGCGCCCCGTTCGATTTGACTGTGAGGACAGGTTTTGGTGGGCGCCTCTGTCGGCTCGGCCCGGGCTGCTTTGGGGCTCGGGAAAGTGCGCAAGCGAAACGCGATAACTATACGTACCTGCGATTACGCGTACCAAAGCCGAGATAATTGCGCTCGGCCGCTGAACGCGGAAAGGTGGAAGCCAACGCCGCTGAAAGCGCCCACAAAGCCTCGCACTTGCCGACGCAAGTAATAAAAAAAAAAACGTGCGCAACAATCGTGGCAACCGGAACCCCAAAGCGTTATCGCCTCATTTTTAGGGGTCGGAAGGGAAAAAAAAAAGTGAATGCGGCATCCAACAACGTGTGCCCTTTCGCAAAATGACCACGCCTTCCTGGTGCGTCTCTCTCTCTCTCTCGCTTTCCACTGCGGTCGCACGAGAGACGCGTTGGTCGAAAAATGCTTCCCGTCTGAAACTCATATATAAGGAGCCGGCGGCCGGCTCGGGCACTCATCGCCTGACCGTCCTCGGTGTAAGTGCTTTTATTTTGCAGCAGTGCGCTAGTCCGTACCGAAACACCGACAATCACCATGAACGCCTCGGTAAGTTCAGTCAAGGCGCTTGTCCCTGTGAAGCGTCACGCGTTCGGCCAACTTTGATCGGCCTGTTGCCACACGTGCTGAAGTTAGCTTGCAGCACGCATGCCAACTGCACGTGTGGAAGCAAGCACGACAGGTGTGGCTGCTCATTTACATGCGTGCACCTGTAGATGCATTTATCGGTTAGCCCTTGCTGGGCGCAATACAACCTCGCCCTGGTGATGACTCACTGTCCGGTGTCCTCGCTTTCATATCGTTGGATTGTACTTGTTGAAGTGATATCTGTTGATAAAATTGTCTCAAAGCGTGTCTAGTAACCCAAGATTCCTTGGCTATTGTAGCATCACTGTTGCCATGCTGTGTTAAATTAACGGCACTGTGGAGTTCTAACTGCCTAAATAGCGGTATGGTTGTGAGGCACGCCGGATTGTCTTTGACGATACGGTATTCTTTGTTGTGCACCTCGATCTAAAACTACAAACACGAGTGCTGTAGGCTTTCGTTATCACAGAAATGCGGACGCCATGGACGGAATACCACCCGTGAACCCAGCCTCCATATTATGCTACATTTGCGCTTAGGAATCTTAACATTATAATGTGTTGGGCTGGCCATAAGTCTCGGTTTATTACTCAAAGGTTCGCCATACGCAAGCACAGCATACACCACGCACCTGCCCGAAGTTAATTGCGTCAGTGAATCACAGTAATCTGTGCTGTTATGTCAGATTATGTATTATATATGGAACATAACTTCCAGACAGTGAGGATGTCTCGGCAGTACGCACATTTGCGGGTGCAAACGATTCGATCCACGTACTTTTTCTCACATTACACTCAGGTTCACGTTATTTTACAATACAGAAGTAATTGGAATAGTGCAAAGCAATATACTGCAAACGTAATCTTTTGGTTAATTGTGAGCAAAATTATTCGAAATACCGGGGAAAATCATGTCGTACTATAAATATCACGTCAGTAAACATCTGTGGGTATGCAGCGCGCCCGATTGCATTTCACTGGCCTCATCGAAATGCAGCCGTGTGCTTATAGAATCCAGGAGGCATGTTTGTTCGAGAACGGTTTCATTGTTTACAACAGGCAGGTTCAAAATCCCATAACGAGACTCAATGACCTTTTATTATTCGCTTTTCGTTCAGGGGCCCTTTAAATTCATATAATACAATTGTCCAGGTTTAACGACGCGCAAGCATGATATGATTATGAGAGATGCCATATATAGTGAAGGTCTCCAGAAATATCCACCACCTGGGTTTCTTCAATGTACACCTAAACCCATGTACACAGGCCTTAAGCGATTCCGCGCCAATAAAAAATGCTGCCCTATTTGGACCCGGCCTTTGAATTGCTGGTCGTATCGTGTGGAAAAGCTATGTAATACTTCTTACATCTACGTTCCTAGTGTGTCAACTTGTATATATTACATGCCTAAGTGCATGGTTCCTGCTTCGCGCGTTATAATATCGCATGGGCGCTGAACGGGAGTTCAACATTTTAGGGCCAGTTTTGATAGTAGCAGACTGTATTCGGCAGCGAAAGAAGACATTTTTTTTCTTCACTTATCTCTCAGTAAAACGTCTAACAACCACACTGTTTCTGGTTCATCGCAATGTTTTTTGCTCCCCTGTATGACTCATTTTACTCACTCCGTGATTGTTAAATACACTGCACATCCAAAGCAAACATAGCATCTCTGATATGTCTCTTCTTGCATGTTTTTGCTGTATGTGGAGTTTTGGGGCACATTCAGCGGCAGTATCACGAGTTCCACTACTTGCGCTGACGTTACACGCACGTAGCAAAAACTTCTGTAATTTAGAGGCTGAATGGGTTATCATTTCATGCAGATGCGGAAAAAATTCTACACTAATTTTCTACACGCCTTAAATGTCAAACGGAAGCAAGCCCCCCAGACGAGGTCTAATAATATATATCATTACACTGGTCCTCCAAATGCTATCCGCGGCAATATCTTGATGGAAGTGGGGCCAATTACTCAATGCGGGAGTAATTATCACCACTTGTCCCGCATTTAGCCCCGTCTTCGAGCGTTCTGGCATTTCCTGATGCATCGTGCATCTGATAACTCCATATGCCTGTGTGTAAAGCAGAGTGAAGACACTCTATTGTTCTTTACTTATAAAGTGGTATAGGGAACGTCCAGTACGAAACGTGGTGGAAAGTTGGACGTACTTCCGCATAAAGTATTTTTGTCTGCCCTTCCCGTTTCCGTCAGAATGTACACGTGATGCAGCCAACAGGCGTGAATTTAAGTCATGATGCAGGACCAGGCTATAGACTTGTTACGCGTACACGCGGTAGACTCCCGGGTGTATACTGTGCTCCGAGGCAGCTTTTCAGCTGCTGTGCCACTGGATCATAGAGGGTGGTATCGAGCTTTGGGCTGGGCGGAGTTTGCACGCCGTGACGCTGCAACAAGTGCCTTTGATAGTGGACGGCGCATACCACTGTTTACAAACATTAAATAGGTATATAGTGTGTATATTCTTTGTCGAAATGCGCAACGGGCAAGAGGTGGCGGGGAGAAACGTCACTTGTTCATTTCCGCCACTTGTTCCCTTTCGCGCTATTGTGTTCACCACGAAGGCAAAGATTTTCAAAGGTAACCAAGGGAATTTTACTTCTTAGATGTAACTGTTAAATTTAACTGTGATAATAGGCACTCCGCAGTAAAAGAAAAATGCACTTGCGAAAGAGCACCAAAGCCTTTGTTTTTTTTTATGAAAGTGTTCACAAAGCTTTCCGAATAGATTCCAAAGCAATTGGCGGATGACGACGCCTTCCTGAAGTTCCCGCACCAGCAATCTGTGACGTCATAGGTTTTGGTGGAGTCTAGTGGACCACTAGTAGGCTGTTTAGCTGTATAACGTTTTGTTTTGAGAGACGTGAAGCCTCCACTTAATTGTCTAGAACCCTTCAGGCATGCGTACAACACGAGAATGCTTTTTGAAATCCGTAACGTATCGACGCGAACATCGATAAAAAGAAGCTTGCTTGCTTGCTTGTTGATTGATTGATTGATTGATTGATTGATTGATTGATTGATTGATTGATTGATAATATGTGGGGTTTAACGTCCCGAAACCACCATACATTTATGAGAAACGCCGTAGTGGAGGGCTCTGGAAATTTCAACCATCTGGGGTTCTTTAGCGTGCACCTAAATCTGAGCACACGGGCCTACAGCATTTTCCCTCCATCGAAAATGCAGCCGCTGCAGCAGGGATTCTATCCCGCGACCTGTGGGTCAGCAGCCGAGTACCTTAGCCACTATACATCCGCGGCGGGGCAGAAATGGAAGCTTAGTGTTAGCTTTCGTCTTTATCCCAAAATTATTTTTGCGTGGGACATAAGAATTTTTTTTTATTCATGACGTGGTTTAGTAAGGAACTCTCGTGTCCCGTGACCAGGTACCTAAGCATCCCGCATATTCACAAAGATGTATTTGGGCTACAAAGTACTCACGTTAGAAAAAGGAACTGTCATTCAATTGCAACGTAGGAATGTTGGTAGCGAATACGACCCGCCAATGAAAAGTGATATTTATGAACGAAATCTTTGTGACTTCGGCTTATATTGCCCAATATTTCGTTGGAAACACTATGCAAAGACTGAAAATATATTACATGTCAGTTGAGGTATCAATCAAGGTTTAGTGCAGCCCTCGAACAACGTCTCTCAACTCAAATCGCCTACTAGAAAAACAATGCAGTGTGAAAAAGGTGCTTCAGTGAATAGGGCCTGTGTGTTTTCACGATGGCACCTGATGCCACCGGTGGGGGGGGGGGGGGGGGGGCGTCTCGATCACAAAAAAAAACTACGCAAAAAACTTTATGAACGTAATGCCCATGTCGTCTATCCTAACTTTACTGTATTCTCACGCAGTCAACTGATATGTAGGTAACACACGCAAATGTGATGTATGCATAATATGACTCTGGTCGACTATCAGTGAAATGGTCCCTTGAGTATAGTAGGCAAAACATAACATGTCAGAATGAAAAATTCCTCGCAGGCCAACGTTAACTAACCTTCAGTAAATTATCTATGCCATAATCAATATAATTATCTCCATGTATTCGAAGCCTGCCCCACGCATTTTACAATTTAACTGCCAAATAAAAGAAAAACAAGTGTCATACAAAGCATATTTGCTCATCGGGAAACTGGACTGCCGGAGACCCTGATGCGTATGCGCACATGGCAAAATTGGCATAAAGAAATGACGTGGCATTTCAGCACTGTTCTGCTACGTATCCATGCTTGGCAATGCAAATTTGTTTGTTCAACTTGTCTTTTGTGTTGACAGCTGATCGCCCTTCTGCTGTGCGCCTGTGTCGCCGTCGTCATGGCCGGTCACTTCGGTGGCTTCGGAGGCTACGGTGGATACGGTGGCGGCTTCGAGAGTGGCCTTGGCTACCACAAGACCGTGCCGGGGCCCTCATTTTTGGTGAAGACCGTGCACCACGTCAGCAAGCTCCACAGTGGCGCACATCTCGTCGGCGGACACTACGGGCACGGCGGATACGGAGGTGGCTACGGAGGAGGCTTCAGCTTTGGAGGCCTCAAGCACTGAGCCGGAAGACATGGTGTGGCCGAACTACGGCGCGGCAGCCCGCGTGGGGCTTCCGCGCCGAGTCGCGGGGACTTCTGCCACCGCGGCGATGGTGTGGCGCCTGTGCGCGGCGCAATACTGTAAATTCGAGTATCTTTCTGCCCTCAGCCAAGCTCAGGGGCACCGCACGTGGCGTACTTGCGCTGATGGGTAACAAAGACAGAGGAACGCCGTTCTCAACTACATTTGCTGAAACGCGATCTAATACCAGAGATCATATTTGTGCCGTTGACAAGGCCGATGGAGAGGCACCTTATGACTGTAGGCTATGCTAACGTTCTGGCTACTCTACTGCGCAGTACTTAGTGGTACTGACGGTCCGCTTTGTATCTTTTCATTTTTATCAGTCTTGCGTAAAGCTGTCCTCGTGCGGTCACCTAATTGCAATGTGTTAAGCAACGATCAAGGTTTTTCTTTCTTTGATACGTGAACGGGCAACGCATTTAGCCGCCCTTTTCTTCTCTGTCGCCTCTTGCTGAGACACTCATATTTTAACAATTATCGTTACACGCTGCTGTGCTCGCGTTGGTTTGCAAGCCGGCGCCTCTATAAATGACAGGACCTGCACTTGCCAACTTCAAAGCCGACCAATGCTGTAAATAGAAAAAAAAAGCGTATCGTCTTGGCCAAAGCGATCACGCATCGTTCTTTTGCGGGAGACGTTGTCTATGCCTGCCATGAGTCTCACCTCTCTATATGCATCGTAACAAAGCCTAGGTAATTTGTCGATGGTACTGCTAGCGAATACGATATACGGTTACTGTAGGAAAATGTTAGCGTAAGATACTACTGGCCACAACAGTTGCTTGTTGATTTTTTGCTATGGTGACTGTACATGTATTCCTATTTTCAGTATGATCTGTCTGGCGTCTAAAATAAACTCCGCACTATAGCCTGTAATGTCATTGTACTCTCGACGAAGAGAGCTCCTTCCTGTCTTTCATGAGCGGCTGTTTATCTGAGGTTGTATTTAAACGTTCGCTTCCTATGTCGAACCCAAAATAAAGAGCCTATGTCACATTCTAGATTCATTTACTCTCTGATCCCTTCAACTCTACATGTAATCACAGTCGGGGGGCACCACTCCCCTTACACCACTTAACAAAATAATTTTTTTTCGAAGCTCGTTCGTACAAAAGCTATGTACTACAAACCAGCATTCAGCCTTACGTCCCAAAGCAGCCTTTCGGCGTTGACCGGATTTTCTGGCATTCATAAGACGTGCTGAGGTGAAGTGCTCTTATGTGCGAACATTACTGACTTATCGTTCAAGTCGCGAGACACTTCAGGGTGATTGGCCGAACCCACGATAGAGAAATGACTTAGTAGGGGCTAGAATTTCCCAAATTTTAGCATTCGGTGATGCACAGAAAATTTAGTGCACCAATAGAAAGACACGGGACGAAAAAGGTATAATACACGCACCACAAGCACTCCCCACACCTTCCTCGTCTCATATTGTTCCTTGTTGCACTCCAACTTGTTCTTCTTGCAATACCAACTAGTATGTCTATCCATCTAGTGGCGTAGTTGACTATGAAGGATTTCATTATGAAACGATACGGAATGATCCTAACCATCTGTAAGACTTTAGAGGTCATGAACCGCCGCACCCAATACAGTAGCAGGCATTGTGTTCCTATCTGAGTATGACTGAATTACAACCGGCGACTTCATGCTCAGCTCAACGCCATGGTGCAATGGTATAATAATAATATGACCTAACAAAATGTACAGCACTACACCAGAGGAGCAGCTAAAGGAGGGAGACAGTTTCCCCCAACGATATCCACATTCTATTAGCAACAGAACGCTACAGGAGGCAAGCTGTCAAGTGTACCCAAGAAGGGGAGATTGGTATTCAATGAAACATAACTTTGAAGGCTAAAGGAAGCCCTGAACCATGGTCGATTAAACTGAGTTTAAAGGGGAAAGGTGCAACATTTCTCTCAAGACCACCACACTTCACTATGAAAAAAAAATCCGGACGTGGACCGTAAAATTAATTCAAAACTGTGGAGAGGTGGTATTCGGTTAAAAGAAACGTTAATCGAAAACTATTTAGGTTATAGCTAGTTAGGAGCTGGTTTAAAGCGAACAGGGGCTTTGGGGGAGGTGCCTCAGATACTGGCGTCATGTGCTTCGTGACACCTGCAGGCAGAAAAAGAGAGTTCCACGGTCCCCGTTGTTGAGTTTGGCGGGCCACCCTTTTGCCGCGGCTGCCAGAACGGAAGAAAGGCAGTCTCCTCATTTTGTGGAGATAAGAGCAGCGCCAAGACGCCCTGCTGTTTCCATGTGCTGGGCGCTGCGTGGCTGAAATCACTCTACCAAGCACCGCTGTCCTTCGGGTCCGTGCAGAGATGCGACACGTAACGTTATCGTGCCCCGGAAAAATCCACAATGCCGAGCTTCCGCCGATTACGGATGTCGGACCACCACGCTGTGCGTCTCTAACTGATAAGCCGCCGATGCTCAAATCAGTACCAGATGTCCAGGTATGGCCCCTTGGAGGAACCTATAGACCACGATCGTGGTTCGACCAAGCTGCCACACGTTTCACCCCGCTCGCTGGAAGCAAGATTCACCGGAGGAGACAGCATCGCCAAGACCATACACGTGTTTGGTTTGCGTATGTGTGTTTGTTGAGGGTGGCGACAGAAAAAAAAAAAAGTAGGACATGAAAGCCCGGATATACACGCATCATCTAGTGCTCCCTTACAACTCAAAGTTACACACGTGAAAAAAATCTTAAATATGGGGGTGTAGCGTGTTTGTTATGAAGAGGCACAAAAAGTCAAACAATGGCCTGTTTAGAATCGATTAATACAGTCGAATCACTTGTCTTGTAACAACTGCGAAGGTCAACTTGCACAAAGTGCGGCGCTATTTGTGACATGATATATGCTTCCGCAATTTCTCAATTTGTCTATTTAGGTTGATGGTTCAAAACTGCTGTGGTTTCGAAGACTGAATTACATTCGCATGACGAACATAGCGTGGCGAGATAAGACGACTCTCTTAGATGAACTGATGCTCGCTGGTGCGCGTGTTAACACATCGATCAGCGTAGCCGTTGTGGACTTAAAAAAAAGAGAGAGAAATTTGTGCTTACCTGCTACACCACAACTGACAAAGCAACTGGCATGACTCTGATCGAATTTTTGTTTGGTTGCAGCAGACTAGTAATAAAAATGATATTTGGCATTCCAATGTTTCAAATTATAGTTGAGGTCAGCAGCTGAGCCCCGTTTCCACTGTTGCACGGCAGTAGACCTCAATGCCGACCCTTGCAGTCTCTTGAGCACAAGAGAAAAAATGCGCCTAATCTATTTGTGCATTTGTTCTGCAAATGCGGCCGACCCCCCCCCCCCCGCCCCCTTCATCATACATGGGTGAAGTACTTCAATATTTATCTTTCTTTGCCATGTGAACCAATTTTCGCAAACCAATGCAACAATATGCAGGATCCCGGCCTTCGGGGTGATCGATGTGCAGCTGAAAACTACTACCCATCTTATGTGAGCAAGTTCTTTTTTCCCCGATGCCGTGTGTAGCATGACATCACAATTCCTCATTTAACAATATTTGACTAATGCGCCGACGCAAAATTATAACACAGCTTTCGGTGATTGATATGATTGATATGTGGGGTTTAACGGCCCAAAACCACCATATGATTATCAGAGACGTCGTAGTGGAAGGCTCCGGAAATTTCGGCCACCTGGGGTTCTTTAACGTGCGCCCAAATCGAAGCACACGGGCCTGCAGCATTTTCGCTTCCATCGAAAATGCAGCCGCCGCAGCAGGGATTTGATCCCGCGACCTGCGGGTCAGCAGCCGAGTACCTTAGCCACTAGACCACCGCGGCGGGGCACCACTTTCGGTGAACCCACAGTGAAAATTTAAATCATGTACCAAAAAACTGCAAATTATCAGATCAAAGAACCTCACAAATGAATTCTAGTCTCGTTCCTTCTTGTTTAAACGTGTTTAGAATGTGCTCACTTCTTTGTAAAGCACGTGACTTCTGAAACAAAATGATATTATCTGTACTTGAATACTGTAAACCATCTGTGCAGTTTGGCTACACCCCATCACGGACAATGAATAGATCGACTTAGTAAAAAGTAATCATTCAATAAATATGAATTCAATGTTCCAGCTTCCATTGCTCACGATGGCACGTTTTTACTGCATGTATCGGCACGTCATCATTTCTTCGCATGCCACTTAACTGCTACATCCTGTACACGTCTGCTTGGCTATAGCGACACTGACTGCACCATTCCTTTCGTATTTCATGCGTATATAGATATACATGCAGGTGTGTTTTAACATGTATAGTATTTTGGATGGAATAATAGCCAACATGTGGGGATGCCCTTCATTTTTTTTTTTGGCGCTCCCATGGCGCCAACCAGCAGCGGGCAACTGAAAACACCCAGCGCGCTTGAGCGGTTTCGACGTACAAACTTCTCCCAAAGTGCTTCGCGCGCCTGCGGGGGACTCTGCGATTGCTGGAAAAGCGTCTATTGGTAGACCATCAGGTGCATCACTCGGAGGACGTCGATTTGGCCCATGCGAGCCGCAAATCATCTTTTCGTTCATTTCCGTTTGCTCACATTTACATCACAACTGCCACTAATAAAGACACCTAAACTTTTCTTGGCTTTTTTTCTGCTAGTTCTAGGTAATGTTGCTGATTTATGAAAAAAATTACCGGTCCGCCTATGTGTATAAGTATTTCAACAGCCACAGACATACTGAATGCAGGGCAAAGGCCTCTCCCATGTTCTGCCAGCCAACCCGATCCAGGGCGTTGGCCTGTCACGTTACAGCAGCAAACTTCTCAATCTCCTCTACTTACCTAATTTTCAGCCTCCCTCTCACGCAATTGACTTCTCTTGGAATCCAGTCAGTTACCGTCAATGAGCAGTGGTTATCCTGCCCCCGTGCTCGGCCCATGCATATTTCTTTTATATTTCAACTATAATATACTTTACCCCTGTTTGTTCCTGACCCACTCTGCTCGCTTCCTGTCTCTTAAGGCTACACTTAACATTTTCCTATCCATTGCTCGCAGCATCGTCATCAGTTTAAATTAAACCATCTTTCTAAGCCTCCAGGTTTATGCCCCGTAGATAAGTACCGATGAGATTCAGTTGTTATACACCTTCCTATTGAGGGATAGTGGTAGACTACCAGTCATAGTTTCAGAATGCTTGCTGAATATTCTAGTTATTTCACGCTCGTTGTTTGGCTCCGTGGTTGCTATACTTATGCTAAGTAGGCATATGTCTTTACCGCGTCTAGTGCATCACCACCCATTGCAACGCGATTGATTCTGCCGACACTGTTGTACATTGCTTTAGCTTTATGCATATTATTTTCAGACCTACTCTACTGCTTTCTGTGTCCAGTTCAGTAATCATGAGTGGTGATTCGTCCCCTGGGTTACTCATCAATGCATTGCCATCAGCGAATACGCAGGTTACTATGAGATATTACCTATTAACTCCTATCCTTAGCTCTTCCCCATCTAAGGCCCCGAAAACCTCCTGTAAACACGTGGTGAATATCACTGGCTAAATCGTGTCTTTCTGCCTAGCACCCTTCTTTTTTGGGATTCTGTCGCTTTTTTTCGAACGGTTATATAGTGGCTGTGGATCCGATGTAGAGTTCTCCCAGTATGTTTATATAGTCTTCACCGATGCCCTGATTCCAAACTGCTTGCGTGATTGCTGATACCTCCACCGGATCAGATGCCTCCTTGTAATCAATGAAGGCATCGTAATCTATATAGGGGTTGTTCGTATTCAGCATACTTTTTCAACACCCGATTGATAATATGATTGTGGTTCATTGCTGAGTGGCCGGCACGTTATCCCGCGTGGTCCTTTAGTTAATTGAACTCTAATTTTGTCTGTATTCTATTAGGTAATATTTTTGTAAACAGCTTCTAGACAACGAATAGGTAGCTGATCGGCCGGTAATATTTCAAGTACTTGGTGTCCTCTTTCTTATG